GTTCTAACCAATAGTATCACAGAACACAGTGGATGCTTGGAAATGTGTGTCAGTTCTAACCAATAGCATCACATAACACAGTGGGTGCTTGGAAAGGTTTGTCAGTTCTAACTAATAGCATCACAGAACACAGTGGGTGCTTGGAAATGTGTGTCAGTTCTAACCAATAGCATCACATAACACAGTGGGTGCTTGGAAATGTTTGTCAGTTCTAACCAATAGCATCACAGAACACAGTGGGTGCTTGGAAATGTTTGTCAGTTCTAACCAATAGTATCACAGAACACAGTGGATGCTTGGAAATGTGTGTCAGTTCTAACCAATAGCATCACAGAACACAGTGGACGCTTGGAAATGTGTGTCAGTTCTAACCAATAGTATCACAGAACACAGTGGATGCTTGGAAATGTGTGTCAGTTCTAACCAATAGCATCACATAACACAGTGGGTGCTTGGAAAGGTTTGTCAGTTCTAACTAATAGCATCACAGAACACAGAGGGTGCTTAGAAATGTTTGTCAGTTCTAACCAATAGTATCACAGAACACAGTGGGTGCTTGGAAATGTGTGTCAGTTCTAACCAATAGCATCACAGAACACAGTAGGTGCTTGGAAAGGTTTGTCAGTTCTAACTAATAGCATCACAGAACACAGAGGGTGCTTAGAAATGTTTGTCAGTTCTAACCAATAGTATCACAGAACACAGAGGGTGCTTGGAAATGTTTGTCAGTTCTAACCAATAGCATCACAGAACACAGTGGGTGCTTGGAAATGTTTGTCAGTTCTAACCAATAGCATCACAGAACACAGAGGGTGCTTAGAAATGTTTGTCAGTTTTAACCAATAGTATCACAGAACACAGTGGATGCTTGGAAATGTGTGTCAGTTCTAACCAATAGCATCACAGAACACAGTAGGTGCTTGGAAATGTTTGATTATTTAAAAACACAAAATGCTTGTAGTGCATACTTTGCAAATAAATACACTAGCAGAATACACTCCATTCTCTGAATCACTTATTTTCATGGTATTCCTAAAAATGTAGTTTGTTTTGCAATTTTGTAATTACTTGCACTTCATATTACTTCATTTCCAGTTGCAGATTGTCATTTTTAAATCTTCGGCGATATAACAATATCTGCAAGAGTATTTCAAAGAAATGTTTTGTCACATATTAGATGAGTTGTTTAGCTGGGTTCTCATATGTGTCTCTACTTAAATTTTAAATTTATATTTGTTTCCAGCATCCTGTTCTGTTGACAGAAGCTCCACTCAACCCGAGGAAAAACAGAGAAAAAGCTGCTGAAGTTTTCTTTGAAACATTCAATGTACCCGCCTTATTTATTTCAATGCAAGCTGTTCTTAGCCTGTGAGTCATTCTTGGTGTGCATACATAGATGCTAGTTTATTTTATGTGAGATTGTGAACAGCAGTTACTCAGCCATGATTTGTAAAAAAAAATTTCTTTCTCCGACTTACTATGATTCATTTTGTTAAAAGTTAAATCAAAATGTAGGTTTTACATGTGCACCTCAATTAATATCTTGAATTTATTAATATTGACCGAACCAAGAATTTTTTTCACTTAATCTCAATTTCAACTTGCGTTGCGTTAACTGACATTAAATTCACATTATTTGTGTTGTAGTTATGCTACTGGTCGTACCACAGGTGTAGTACTTGACTCTGGTGATGGCGTTACCCATGCGGTGCCCATATATGAAGGGTTTGCATTACCGCATTCCATAATGAGAGTTGATATTGCTGGACGAGATGTTACAAGATACTTACAATTATTAATGAGGAAAGAAGGTTATAATTTCCACACTTCAGCAGAATTAGAAATCGTTAGGACAATAAAAGAAGTAAGTTTTTAAATACAAAATATTTACAGTACACATGTTTCCAATCAGTCACATGACCAGCAGTGAATTGATTTTATGGCATCAAATCGACGTAGTTGGTGAAATCAATGTCTTTTAAATAGTCAGCTCTGTTTGGTTTATTGTTTAGAATATAACAAGTCTCTTCTTATTAGCAATATCTTCTCTAAGAATGGGATTAGTTGCACCCATTTATCTCACTCGAGAAACATTGTGTATTGCAGCTATTAAAAGGAATACAAATGTATGTGTCATTGATGTATTATACATCATGCAAAAAAACATAACATGGTTTTATTTAAATTATTAATATTCATAAATATGGTAGTATTTGAATGTTTTTTTGTTTTTTTTTCAGCGTGGATGTTATTTAGCTTTGAATCCTCAAAAAGAAGAAGGTTCAGAAATTGAGAAGACACCATATACACTGCCTGATGGAAGTACACTAGAGGTATTGAAACTAATTCTGATGTACATATTGTGATAGACAAAACCTTTCCATATTTCATTTGTTCTGTCGGTGTGAGACCAGCAAGTTTGTGCTTGAAATGAAATCTTTGTCATAACAATTAATTTTGTAGCATCCTTATTTTTGAACTTTTATCGTTTCAAACCGAATATCATGTGATTCAGCATTACAATTTTTATATAATTATTGTTTTGAACTATATATATTGAATATTTTTTGTATGTTACTTTGTGTCACAGGTTGGTCCTGCCAGGTTCCGAGCACCAGAACTTTTATTTCAACCACATCTCATCGGAGAGGAGTGTGAGGGACTGCATGAAGTGTTATCATATGCTATTCAGAAATCGGATATGGATTTAAGAAGGACTTTATTTGCCAATATTGTCCTATCTGGCGGCTCTACTTTGTTTAAAGGATTTGGAGACCGACTACTTAGTGAAGTGAAAAAATTAGCTCCTAAAGATGTCAAAATCAGGGTAAGCAATTGTTTTTTTTTTCACTCATAAATGTACATGGAAGTATTTACTATTTTTTCAGTTGGTGGTGTCTTGTAGACATGGTTCTTGACAGTCTACATTGATTGGCCATGCAGTCTTTTTTAGCTCCGCTGTCGACTTTGTCGAGCGGAGCTTATCATATGAGTGATTGTCCGTCGTCGTCGTCCGTGTCAATGTTTTACTTTTTTGACTTCTTCTTGAAAACTACAAGCCTGAATGCTTTGATACTTGGTGTATATGTACCTTGGGTAGACCTCTCTTAGGTTTGTTTATTTCATGTTGATATCTTCAATTCTCTAATTTTGGTGAATATTTTTGTCATTTTTGGTAAAAAGTGATATTTTCGACTTCTTGTTAAAAACCGCAAGTGCAATTGCTTTGATATTACATATATAGGTACTACATGTGGACCTCTCTCAGATTTGTTCATTTTGTAATGATATCTTTAATTCTCTAATTTTGGTGAATATTTTTGTAATTTTTGGTAAAAAGTGATATTTTCGACTTCTTGTTAAAAACCGCAAGTCCAATTGCTTTGATACTACATATATAGGTACTACATGTGAACCTCTCTCAGATTTGTTCATTTCGTGATGATATCTTCAATTCTCTAATTTTGGTGAATATTTTTGTAATTTTTGGTAAAAAGTGATATTTTCGACT